ATATTATTTATACATATGATATATATCTGGCCTATGTATTGAAATACTGATATAGTGGCATATGTATATACTGGCATACATTTATTTATACATATGCCTTAATATCAATACATATGTATTGTATATAAAACTAATTCCTTATCTTTAGACATTTAGATTGTGTCTTCTTTTTCAGTATTATAAACAATTGTCTTAGTCCATTTGGGCTGCTATAACAAATTATTACAGACTGAGTGGCTTACACAACAAACCTTTATTTCTCACAGTTCTAGAGGCTGGAAGTCCAAGGTCAAGGTGCGAGCAGATCCGGTGTCTGGTGATTGCCTGCTTCCTGGTTTGCAGGTGGCGGTCTTCTCAGTATGTCCTCACATGGCAGAAAAGGAGCAAGCTAGACCTGGCCTCTTCTTATAAGGACATGAATCCCCTTTTATGAGAGCTCCACCCTCATGAGCTAATTACCTCCGAAAGGCTCCCCTTCCAAATACCATCCCAGTGGGGATTAGTTTCAACATATGAATTTTGAGGGGACGCAAACATTCGGTCCATATCAACAATCCTTCAGTGACCATCTTTACAACAGCACGGTTGTGCGCATCATTGAATATTTCATTAGGATAAATTCCCAGAAGTGAAGTTGATGAGTTAAATAAAATAACATCTTAAATATTTTTCCAGTTGTTACATATTTTATTTTAAATACCAAAGTGTTAATTCAGGCCCGAATTTGGTGAATCAGGAAGAGCACCATCGGTGAGTTCCATTCATTTCTGAAACTTTCAGAAGGGGAGTCCTGTAGCGTATATGATTTCAAGACATCCGCTTGGGAGCAGGGCGATGTGCTTAGTTTCTCGTCATCGCTGTATAATATTCCTCCACTACATCTGTGTTACTGCCTCCTTTTAGTTGCTTCTATGTTTAACTATGCATTATTAATATCCAGATTCTACTCAACATCTTAGGCTTAACATTTGTGGGCTAAAAGTGGAGAGAATAATTATTATTTCCCTTGGATAATTTTCTTTGTGAAAATCCTAATACCATAACAAACGCTAAAATTATTGGATAAGTCAGCCTCAGAACTCTTAACTTTGGTGTGTTAAATTTTTTTCATTTATCTCTCCAGAAATCTTTAAAGACTGCCCCAGGTGCCCCAATGAGAAGAAAATCATCAACTGAAATTTTAGGAAAACTTCCTCTCTTGAAGGTTATCTCTATCCTGCTGTGCTCTGTACCCAAGTTTAGTCCCCAAACCCTGGAACTGAAAGCACTCTTAGAGATACCAGTCCAGCCCTCTCATTTTACAGAAGAGGAAGCAGGTCCAGAGAGGGGCAGGGGCTCGTCCACGCTCACCCACTTAGCTGGTGGCAGAGGTGGACTAGAACCTCTGTCTTCTGACGCCAAGTTCACTGACCTTTCTGCTTGAGCACAGTTTCCTAAGGCATGACCTTGGCCAGCCCCTGCCTCTGCTTGCCCTCCTTCCACTCGGTCCATACAATTACTGAGCAGACAGTCCTGTGCGAGCCCAGATGACTCAGACTTGAGGCCTGGGAGGGGGCAGGGCAGGGTGGTGCAGGAGTGGCTGGTTACTCACAGGAGGGAGTGACACTCTCATATGGGGAATTGGAGAAGGCCTGTGGCACTGGGCCAGTAGGATTAGGCGAGGAGCAGCCTAGAAGCTGTACAATAAGGACTAGTAGAAAAGAAGTCTGGAAAGGCAGAATGGAGGGGCCGGCCTGCCAGCCAAAGGGGTGTGGATTTTTAGTTCTGCAAAGCTGTGGAGCCACTGAAGGGTCTGTTTGCTTTGTGGGAGAAAATATAACATAAAATTTGCCCTTTTCACCACTTTAAAGCGTATAACTCAGTGGCATTAATTACAGTGTTGTATGACCATCGCCACTATCCATTTCCAAAACTTTTCCACCACCCTAAACAGAAACTCTGTACTCATTAAGCAATAACTCCTTATTCTCTCTTGCTCCCAGCCCTTGGTAACCTCTAATCTATTTTGTGCCTCTATGAATTTGCCTATTAAAGATATTTCATATAAGTGGAATCATACAGTATTTGTCCTTTTGTACCTGGCTTATTTCACCTGGAAATGTTTTAAAGATTCATCCATGTAGAATATCTCAAAAATTCATTCCATTTTTTTTTTTCGGGTGCTAAATATATCATGTTACTGTTTGCTTTTATTTTGATAATATATACATGACATAACATTAAACATTTTAACCATTTTTAAATGGACAGTTCAGTGGTATTAAATACTTTCACCTTGTTGTTCAGCCATCACCATTGGCCATCTCCAGAACTTTTTCATCACCCCCAATGGAAACTCTGCCCCATTAAACACACCTCCCCATTCCCCTCCCCCGCCCCTAGCAACCGCCATTCCACTTTCTGTCACTGTAACTTTGACTATTCTAGATACATCAAACAAGTAGAATCATACATTTGTCCTTATGTATCTCTCCTATTTTATTTAGCATAATGTTTTCACGGTTCACCCATGTTGTAGCACGTATCAGAATTTAATTCCTTTTCAAGGCTGAATAATATTCCACTGTACGTATAGACCACATTTCGTTTATCCAGTCATCCTTCCATGGGCCCTTGTGTTGCTTCCCCCTCCTGACTATTGTGAAGAAGCCTTCAGTGAACATTGGCATACAACTATCTGCTTGAGTCCCTGTTTTCAGTTCTTTGGCGTCTATACCTAGGGTGAAATTTCTGGCTAATATGGTAATTCTATGTTTAACTTTTTGAGGAACCGTCAAACTCTTTTTCCCAGTGGCTGCACCGTTTACATTCCCACCAGTACCGTACAAGGACCAATGGAGGGTTTCGAGTAAGGCTGGAATAAGATAACCTTTCCCAGGCCATCTCCCTCCTGGCCTGCTGTGGTATTCTTCAGGGTTAGGAAACCGCGTCTGTCTACACTGCCTGCTTCTGGGCTACTGCGGTGCCACCTCGGAGGGTCTCTTTTCTTTTTGGTATCAGTACTTAATTTTGTAACGATTACCTCTCTCCTTAATCCTAATACATCCCCACAGTATGAAAATTCTGAACAAAGCAACTAGATCTTTCTTATTCCAATATATTTCTGCTTTGTTATATATTTTCTCTTCTCCTTGAAGACTTTCTTATTAGAGGCTATTGGTTTCGGGGAAAGGGTTGGTTTCGTGGCTCTGTGACCATGAGCAAGTCACTGAAATCTTCTGAGCTTGTCACCTTGTGCAGGATGTTGGCAGATGTGATGCGTGAGTTATTTTTTCAGAAGGCTGTCTTGCTACCTGGAAAAAAAGGACATGGTTATATAGCATATCTTCACAATACTTCTGATATTCTCAAACTTGCTGTTGAGATTTTAAAACTGAGATCTTAATTATATTTAAAGTTTTATGTCCAGGGGTGGTTTATGTCTTAAAACATTTTTAAATGATATATAGAACCATTCAAGTTCATATTCCACATGCATTTGAAATATTATCTTTTATTCATTTTTAAATAACAATATTTGTCTTGTCTTGAATTTTCCTCCTATAGTAGATGCTGATAAAACCATCAAGGCAGCTTTTATTTGTCACAATTTATATTTATGGGAGTAATCTTTTAAATTTGTTCAAGATCAGTAAATACCATGTAATTTTACCTCTATGCCTATATATTTACCTTCTTTATAGTAATATAAATATATAAATATATTTTATTTATATTTTTATATTTTATATTATATTTATATTTTATAAACTTATAAATATAGAATAGGAATACATTCTTTCTGGTAATACAAGGTAAGAAAGCAGTGTTTTCTTGTTGGTGTTGTTTTCTAGATGCACCAGCAGTTATTGATTTGACTTCAGTTTGATAAATTTATAATAGGAAGAGGTGATAAAATTACTGTACTTAGAAAATATTATATGTAAAGAAGTATATATATTAGAATATTAAAATAAAGTGCAAGAATAAAGCATTAAATATTTTATATATTGGCATTTCCCGATGTAAAAATTTCCTTACACCAGTTAATGCACAATTTTTATAAAGATTTGTATAATACAATAGCTTCCAAGATTTATATGAATTGCTTGTCCTAGATTGGAAAGTCCTAAGATATTATGTTTATGGACCCTGCTGACTCACTTGGATCTATTTCTCAGAAACACAGCTCCAGAACACAGGCTGATTATCTCAGAGCCTGCCGAATAAAGTGAAATATCTAGAAGCAAACAATGTTTATAGTTACTCTGATTCAGCACAATTTAGATTCTCTTTTGGCAAAGAAAACTAAATAATGCCCTGCTACTTCTCAGCCACAGCCAACAGAGAGAGCTTGGAGCTCCTTGTCCAAATGATCATCACAGCAAAGGCAGCCCCTGGAGAGAAGGGGGGGCGGGGGCAGTGTGGACACACCACACTAGATGGCCCTCTCTGGCAGCACCCTGTCTTCAGGTCACCCCCAAGTGGCATTTTTGTTTGCAACATCAGGACTGATTTGTACTGTTGTTGTTTTAATTTGAAACAAAATGAAAGAAACAAAAATTCAGATAGACACCTAAAAAAGACGGAAATTCTGACACGTGTGAAAATTAACAAAGGGAAACCTCATTTAAAATGGAGTCAGGAGGCCAAAAGGGAGAGCTCTCCTGCAGTACCACTTGAGGTCGATTATAGGAAAGAGAGTCAGTTACAGACCCCAACAGAAAGAAGTCAACAGGAAAGAATCATCAATTACAGGAAGAAAATGTACATTGCATCCCAAATAGACTACCTCAGCAACCGAGCCAATGAGAAGCCATCACTACCCTGAACTCTTGCTTTTCTCCAATGGACTTTTGTTCAAAACAACCCCTCCCAATTCCCTATAAAATAATGTTCTTCTTTGATTGTTGGATTTGCCTCTCGTCTGCCATAGCACGCATATCTTGAATTGCAATTCTTTGGCTATTCCTGAATCACCCCATTTTGCTGGTAAAATAATTGGCTGTTTCATTTTTAAGGTTCACATATATGGAGTCAGAAGTGGGATCTGAAGGAGGCGACTGCCAAGATAAAATGACCCCCAGAATCTAGCAAGTTACCTGCACTGAGCTCCTTGTGCTCATCGCTTCTGTGAGTGGCCACCCACTTTTGGTTTGGCGAGTCTCCTCACAGATTTTGACCCCCGCTTCCTTTGCATTCTGAGCTCTCTGACTTACTCAGGACCAAGAGAGGCTTTGTTCTCTCAGGGGATGGACTTTGTCCTCCCAGTTCAAGGCTCTGTCCTTGGGTTCAAGGTGTCATCCCTGGTGAGTACTCAGTAGTTTTCTGAAGGTGGCACAGTTCCTTTTGGGGCTTGGGCTTGCCAAAAACTCAGGTGTTTTCTTTGACTTTCAGATTCCAGCAACTTTCTTTTGTTTTTAGATTCCTTCAGGGATTAGGGCTAGGACTCTAGTAACTTTCTTGGTTTTCAGAGGAAATCTCATAAATGGGATCCCAGTGATCTAAATGTTCTGAGGGAAACCCTTCTTCAGGGACCCTGGCTGGGTTTATATCTGAGAACTTTGGGCCCCTACTTGGGCATTTAACTAAGTCGGCCAAACTGACCAAGAGTGGTTTGAAATTACAATGGCTATTATGGGGAACTTTAGATCTCCCCAAACTTTTTTTAAAAACCAAATTGGAAGACTTTAGCTCTAAAATTAAGCAAAATGAATGGTATGTTTATTTTATTTGGTACCTGGAGGCTTCCAAAAGTGCGCAATACTCTAAAATTGCCTTGTTACGAGTCCCATATCTAAAGTAGCCAAAAAACTAAAAAACTCAAGGAAACAAAAGGGCTTCTGAGGCCTCTCTTTCCTCTCCCCTGTTTTTTGTTTTTGTTTTTGTCTTATGCTCAGACTCCACCTCTGGTGCCGTCTTCTTCCTTCCCTTCTGCATCACCTCTATTGCTGAAACTTTGGCCACCTGAGCAAGTAAACAACTTAGTCCATCCACCAGAGACACAATTTGGATCCAACTATTCACTTGAATTTTGTACCTGAGAAATGGCTGAAGTTTTTGAAACAAAAGCTGTAAGGTCTCTGTGTCTGTCTATATGTTATGTCTGTCTATTTTCATACGTGACATTTTTCTACCTCCAGATTGTATTGCTAAGATTGATTTGTAAAAGAGCTCTATTTAATTAGCTTGCAATTAAGCACTTATAAATTAAGTATTCCTAAACCTCAGAAATATAATGGAAATTAACCCAATTGTTTTCAAGTTTACATGCTCTAGGATTAATCTTTAGTAAATAACATTTAGCTTAAGATTGTTGTTTTAATTGAAACAGTCATGTCTTTAGAGTTATCAATGCTGAATATAATGCAGACATACAACTTTCAATCTGCCTGAGTTTACTAAGCTCACGTTATCTCTGTTAGAAAATTTGTCAGCAAGAAAGTGACTTAACATGATGGTTGGTTGTTTAATGTCAAATCCAAGCATGATTGTTAAAAGCAAGTAACATAAATAAATATAAATAAGATCAAAGCTTATACTAGGTTAAACTAAATAATTGATCATTGAATAGCTAGATAACTTTTAAATAAGATGAACATTAATTACTGAACACAGGCTTATCTACTTTTGGCTTCCTATTCCAGAGAAACTAAAGATATTTGAATTTATTGGTGAACATGTTTTATGCAACACTGAGAAATTTTCTATAAGAAAAGGCACATTTCTAGAAATATATAAAAGATAGTTATAAGTTCTCCAAGCCACAAAATGCTAATATAGTTCACAATTGCTTACTTAGTTTTTCCCCAGAAATTAAGGATTCTAAGAGTTAGGAATTCTAATCAGGGCTTGTCCCAGTGGCCTAGTGGTCAAATTTGGCACACTCTGCTTCAGTGACCCAGGTTCAGTTCCCAGGCATGGACCTATACCACCTGTCTATCAGTGGCCATGCTGTGACAGCAGCTTCATACAAAATAGAGGAAGATTGGAAACAGATGTTACTCAAGGTGACTCTTCCTCAGCAAAAAAAAAAAAAAAAAAAAAAACCAATCCTAAGTAATATGTGTGATAATAAGGGAAACGTCTACATATCTAAAGGCCTGCCCTGGAAAAGGAATTTTAATGTGTGGTCAAGCTGGCTAAAATTAAAATGAATTTATTAAAATGAGTTTTAACAATAAAATAAGCTGATGCAGGGGGCTGGCCCCATGGCCAAGTAGTTAAGTTCAGGTGCTCCGCTTTGATGGCCCAGGGTTTCACTGGTTCGTATCCTGGGTGCGGACATGGCACCGCTCATCAAGTATGCTAATGTGGCATCCCACAGAGCACAACCAGAAGGACCTACAATTAGAATATACAACTATGTACTGGGGGGCTTTGGGGAGAAGAAGAAGGGGGAAAAAAAAGAAGATTGGCAGGGGCTGGCCCCGTGGCCGAGTGGTTAAGTTTGCGCGCTCTGCTGCAGGTGGCCCAGTGTTTCGTCGGTTCGAATCCTGGGCGCGGACATGGCACTGCTCGTCAGACCACGCTGAGGCAGCGTCCCACATGCCACAACTAGAGGAACCCACAACGAAGAATACACAACTATGTACCGGGGGGCTTTGGGGAGAAAAAGGAAAAAATAAAATCTTAAAAAAAAAAAAAAAAAGAAGATTGGCAACAGATGTTAGCTCAGGTGTCAATCAAAAAAAAAAGCTGATGCAAAATTAAATTTTGTCCTTATTTTCTGTTGAAAAGACAAGGTTTTCTTGGGCTATTGGTCTGCTTTTAACAACAGATTGTAAAAGCTTCTTTACCTTTAAGTAATATGCCTAGAAAACAGAAATTCTATATTTTATCAAAATTATTTTCTGTGCTTTCTGTTAAAGGCTAAGTCTTTTCTATTAAGAGGAACTAAGGCTTTTCACAGCTATGTAACCTTCTATATTTGTCTTTGAAATACTTCTGTCACTTTGGTTAAATGGATAATTAAATATTGTTTATAATTTTCTGTGATTCTACTTCACTAAATGTCCAAAACTTTTTGATATTTTTTATATACTTCTCCCAAATGAAATTCTAAATAAAGTCTTTTTGACCTGAAAGTAGCTTTGGGAATTTCCAGAGGGCTCCTGGGACTTCTCAAAGGATTTTGCTCTTTCCTCTTTTTTTTTTTAAGATTTTTTTTTCCTTTTTCTCCCAAAGCCCCCCAGTACATAGTTGTGTATTTTTTAGTTGTGGATCCCTTTAGGTGTGGGATGTGGGACACTGCCTCAGCATGGCCTGACGAGCAGTGCCATGTCCACGCCCAGGATTGTTTTACTCTAGTGTTTTTGCAAATATATTTTATCTTCCAGGAAATTCATGGGAAAGATCTTGACAAATACTCTAGAATGCAGGTGTGTGATAACTTGAAGATCATCATACTGAACTAGATTTAAAGGACCCCTTTTCTCCTCTCCTTTGAGAGAAATGTATCTTTACAAGGTTAAGCATTTATCTTTTTCTCCCTACCTGATCCCTCCAGAATTTAGAAGTTCTTAAGTGTGCTTTCCAAGGTAATATATGTATTTGCATAAATTCAATGAGAATCTGTTCTTATAACAGGACACAATTGGAAATACTGGCTACATTACCAAGTCTTTGACTAGAATGTCATATCCTAGAAAGACGTACATAGACTCAGAAATGACCAGAAAGCTTTGAGGAACTCTTGGCAATAAGGAACAGCAAAGCAATCTTTAAAAATCTTACGTGGTTAATCATTATTTTTGCTGTATTTGTAAAAGTAGTCAACCCAAGTTTAATAGAAATTAGTTAGTTTTACTATGATTATCTTTAATAAAAATGGGAGTTGGGCCAGCCCGGTGGCTCAGCAGTTAAGTGTGCATGTTCTGCTTCAGCAACCCGGGGTTCACCAGTTTGGATCCCGGGTGTGGACATGGCACCGCTTGACAAGCCATGCTGTGGTAGGCGTCCCACATATAAAGTAGAGGAAGATGGGCATGGATGTTAGCTCAGGGCCAGTCTTCTTCAGCAAAAAAAAAGAGGAGGATTGGCGGCAGATGTTAACTCAGGGCTAATCTTCCTCAAAAAATGGGGGGGTTAATTGTGGAGGGAGAAATTATGTTTGCACCTTTATAGATATTAAATTATAGTCTTATTAATTGTCTTTAAGATTTTGTTATATACCTGTTAGCTGGACTGGATCCTAAATTCTTCCAGTTTCCTTAAATGTCTGGCTATGATACACCAAACTAACATTTCTCACTTTTACTACCCATGAAATCTCCTTGGAAGGACTGTACTAGGTCCTCCTCAGTACCCAGAGGGCAGCCAAACTTCAGAGCCTTGAGCTTTGGGTACACATCTCACAGTTAAACCAGGCTCTACCTAACATTTAGTCCTGAACAAACACTGGAAACCTCAAATCAAATTGACCAGAAAGAGAAGCAGCTGACATCTGAGGCAGACAGCTTTCCCAAGATGCCTGGAACAGGCCTGTATACTTTTCTTTTACTGCTATCTCTCACTTTGTTTCTTCTCTCCCTTCTAAGGAAGGATAATGCCCTTGTCCATATTTTCCAATCCCTGTCTGATTACTGAATCAGAAACCTCAGTCTGTTCAGGGCAATAATAACTCCTTAGTTCACCCTATAAGTGATTTCACCGGAATTCCAGATGCCACTGTATGTTTAAATTGTTCTGCAGGTCCATTTTATAAAGTTAGGGTACTAAGCCTGCCTGATTTCATTCCTTGCTTTAATTTAACCCAAGCTTGGGCGAGAAAGACAAGATCTTATGAATCTTATGATAAATTCTGTAGGATTAATTATGATAAATTCTGTAGGATGGCCAATGTAAATCAGATCATTTGTATAATTGTTGATATACCCATATGTTTAGGCAATCTCTCCTTATGTAACAACAGAATGTCTGAGTATGGTTAAATAGTGGTGATGCCTTTAAGCCAGTGAATGAGTCCATAGATACTGTCACCTATGCAGGAGGCTTATGTACATCCCCTGGTTACATTTTCATATGTGGAGGCTCCGACAATAGCCTTTATGCCTGGGCATCTCACTGCCTTGACAGCTGGAGAGTACGAGGACAGTGTGCCCTTGCCATATTCCTCACCCTGTTCTCCCTTCATAACCAGTCAGAAGCCCCTCATTGGTCAGTTATACTAAATCCCTGTAATCTCCTCAAACAAGAACTTGCAGGAGGCATGTATGATTCTCGGTTTGCCTCCACAAGGAGAGCTTTCTTTCCATAGATCCAAGAAAATGATCAGGAATCTTCCCCCAACACTAGAAGAGTTGGCCGATTCCAAAGCCAAAGCAGTTGTGACCCAACAATGGTCGCTTACCTCTTTGGCCGGGGTAGTTTAGAAAACTGTGTAGCTCTTGATTACCCACCTGCTGAGCAGGGAGGTGTCTGTGCAGCAACAAACACCTCCTGTTGCACATGGATAAACAAACACCTCTGGGGAAGTAGAGACCCAATTACATAGAATTAGACAGCAAGTGTGTTGGCTGCAACAAATTTCACTCAATAAGCCACTACCTTTTGCTTTATTCAGCTGGTTACCCTTAGGTCTGGGCTCCTGGTTTGGAACTATCTTACAAATTGGGCTCATTATATTGCTTTTAATCCTGCTTTGTGTACTTGTTGTTAAATTCTATACCTATTGCCTGTTGAAACTTTGTAAACATGATATACCTAATGTGATAATTCAACAGTTTGAAATGGTTTCCAACACTTACAACCTCAGACAACTACAGACTTTGAATAAGAGATGCCTGAGGGTTCTCCCTCCTAACTTCCTTGTTACTCAAATGCGGCCCAAATGGTTTCTACCCACTATGTACTTTCCTTCCACCATGGAACATGACAACCAGGAAAGGTCCTTCCTGGCACCAAGGGACAAAACCATTATGTGCAGAGAATCTGACTCTTGATCAGTGATGCTTTCAGAGAAAGATCTTGATCAAAAAGGGAGAATGTGAAAATTAATAAAGTGAAACCTCATTTAAAATAGAATCAGGAGGCCAGAAGGGAGAGCTCTCCTGCAGTACCACTTGAGGTCAATTACAGGAAAGATAGTCAATTACAGACCCCAACAGAAAGAAGTCAACAGGAAAGAATCATCAATTACAGGAAGAAAATGTACATTGCACCCCAAACAGAAGTCCATTAGCTCGCAACTCAGCCAGTAAGAAGACATCACCACCCTAAACTCTTGCTTTTCTCCAATGGACTTTTGTTCAAAACAACCCCTCCCAATTCCCTCCTTCTTCCCTATAAAATAACCTTCCTCTGCTTTGATTGTTGGATTTTCCTATGGTCTGCCATAGCACATGTATCTTAAATTGCAATTCGTGGGCTATTCCTGAATAAACGCATTTTGCTGGTAAAGTAACTGGCTGTTTAATCTTGAAAGTTGATGCATGTTACAACATGGATGAACCTTGAGGACATTGTGCCAAGTGAAATAAGCCAGTCTGAAAAGGACAAATACTGTAATGATTCCACTTATATGAGGTATCTAGAATAGTCGAACTCATAGAGACAGAAAGTAGGATGGTGAGTGCCAGGAGCTGGGGGAAGGAGAGAATGGAGAGTTAGTGTTTCTTGGGGACAGATTTTCAGCTGGGGAAGATGAAAAAGTTCTGTAGCTGGATGGTGGGTGTTGGTTGCACAACAACGTGAATGTACTTAATGCTGCTGAACTGTACGCTTGAAAATAGTTGAGATTGTAAATTTTATGTTAGGTATATTTTACCACAATAAAAAACAATTCAGAGAATCTACCCCAAATCCACATAGCTTTGTACATTTAGGCCTTGGCTTGTTAAACAGAAATCTGCTTAGTCTTCCTTTACTGAACACTGAGGTTTTTTTTTTAAATTTTATAGATCATCGTAAATGTAAGGAAGTAGAGATTTTTTTTAGATGAT